GATGAGTCGACAAGTCGCTCGGGGGGAGCGACTCTAGACTAGTCGTGACTAGTCTAGACTCATGGTCGATGAGTCGACATGCGACAAGTCGACGTGAGTTAAGCAGTAGAAACTAGGTACAATAAAACCAGCCTTGTTCTTGAGTGGTTCCAATTCAGCCCTCAACTCTTCATCATGCACAACCACCCTTGTTCATGCACAACCAGGGGAGGAGCAGACCACCACCACCACCACCACCAACAACAACAAGGGGAGGAGAGCAGAAGCAGACCAGCAGCAGCAACAACCATGGGTTGAGGGGAGGAGCAGACCAGCAGCAGCAACCAGGCGAGGAGGGGAGGAGCAGACCAGCAACAACAGCAACCAGGGAAGAAGCAGACCAGCATCAGCAACCAGGGGAGGAGCAGCAAGCCAGCAACCAGGGGCGGCGGCGGCTGCCAAGGAGAGGGTTGGGTCGGGAAGGGGAACAGGTTCGATCTAGGTTTCCACGGGGGATGGTACGATACAGTAAAAAAACATATGACAGGCGGGCCCAAAAAAAATGAGTCGTTCGACCCAGAAAACACGACTAGTCGTGACTAGTCAAGACTAGTCGCTCTAGTCGCTCGACTCATCCCATGAGTCAAGTCGCCAGGCTGAGTCGACCATGCCAGTGTGACTCATAGACTAGTCGACGACTAGTCGCGACTAGTCGAGCGACTCAAAAACAGAGGTTAATAGTAAGATCATACCATTAGTTATCTTGATCGTCCATGACTGCTGAAATAATGCTGCAGTAGCGGTGGCACGCCTCTCCCTAGCAAGATCCCTGATTGTGTCACCAAAACATGTCTCTATTAACCAGAAAATATCGAAGGGAAGGTCTCCAAGGGTGATCAAGTATGAACACTTGCTAAAACGTGCATTCAACAATACTTAAACGAAAAGGTGTGGTAGCACCCGGGACTCCCGGCACCCCCTTATCATGCCGTTGAGTTTCATTTGGATTCGTGCTATGGTCAGACTAGGAACAGATCATTTGCAGCAGCAGTCAGCTTTATCAGCCCATTTGACTCTTCTAATGGAGGTGTAGGTAGGCGCTTACCAGTGTATAGGACAACTGTAGGTGACTGTTTTTGACTAGCCTGTGTCCGACAGGTCTGAGATGATGGTCACTGTTTTTGACAGTGCTGTGTGACGCCATTGAAAGTTGTACGTGTTCCTTTGTGCCCCAGCAAAAATAAAATGGAGAACAAACATAAAAGCTTCTCGATCATACAGTTTTGACGACACGTCAGCAGTGCCCCGTGCGGCTCATTGGTGCAACAACATTTTTCTAAGTTGGCGACGCGTCCATGCAGTAAAACTTTCACCGAAGGAGCAGCATATTGAGTCGTGCGGATGTGACTGGTCATGCCTTCGTACAGGGTGTGCATGGGGAAGTAGGAGTGGAATCTAATTTAGCTGCAGGAGTAAGATTCCGTGGTAAAGTTGTGTGGTCAAATCAAGAACCATAGGCAGCAGCGATACTGTTTAAAGTAGGTCTGCTAATGAAGCTGGTCGCACAGGACCTGGCGCAGATCTCCACGAGCTGGATTTTGAACGAACGGTCCTGATAACAGGGTGTACAGACACCCGGGTGCTAAAAAGCCTCTCTCATACTTAAAGGAAGATGAATCTGTAAAACACGTGTTTCGTTGTTAGAAGGCTGCACCTGTGTCAACTGTATATGTGATCTAGATCATACACAGGAAATACAAACAGAATATAAAACTATTTTGGAAGAATAGATGCACACGCAGCCCCATTGGTAATGAACTAATGATGTCTTGCAGAATTTGGAATAGACACTTGTTGAGCATTAATAAAGAACTCCTGCTTACATGCATCCCCCCTAGTTATGTTACTAAAAATAGTACAGAAATTTTGATGGCAGGGAGCATATAAGGTTTCTAAGACTGTATGGTGCCTCATGTCTAATTTTGATGGCAGGAAGGTGTGCACATCAATAATAAGTTAATAAGCACAATGTTTATGGCATGCAAGAGAAGTGTACAATGGGAAGCACGGCAGTCCAAGGAAAAGAATACATGCTCCTATCTTATGCTTAAGAACTTGAAAATATAATAAAACTATGGATTCGAAGGATTTCAGTCAAAAATACAGATTGGTAATATATGCTTCAAAGAATAACTCATTGTTTAGAAATTCCACCAAAAGATGTATTATTTTCAGTTAGAAATATTACTGTACAATCTAATATATAGCTAACAATCTACTGAAAAATAAAGTATAAAAGCATGATGCTAAAAATGTTAACGCACACACTCCATTCTTTCCACTCGGATGCTCTATTTACCAATGATCAGAACTGTATGAAGGTCAATGTTGTGACATTTACCTTGCAGCCTACCATAACGGAGTCCAGCCCATAGAGCTTAGTAGAATCTATACTTCTATGCTCCCTCATCCTAGTAATTCAGGCATTAAGCTTCAAGCAGTAGGACTCTTTGGTTACATCTTTTAGCAACGGTCCCTCCATTGATTCAGCCTTGTTGTCAGGCACATAAATTATAGTAAGACAGTTATAGTTTACCCATCAAGAAAAGAAGTCTGGATAATTAAATAATGTTTTTACTATTGCCAATAAAGTTTTCACTGCAGAAAACTACACAAAAGAAAACAGGCACACTGTTTTCTCATTTATTCAATGCTAAAAGGGGATGCATGCGTTTCTGCATTCTATCACTTGTATTTTTTTTCTCAGAATAAAGTATTTGGCTTGCTGTCGCCTAGAAATAACAGAAAGCTAAAACAATATTCATATGATAACTCATGAGAAATAACCAGCATCAAGTCTGAAATCATATTTCACACTGAGAGGGGCACCTAATTCACAAACCTAACAATATTTCACAGTGATTTTTTCCAAGCCATTGTAGTAGTAATATATATATGTATACTCCCTCCGTTCCTAAATATTTATTTTTTAAGAGATTCAAATGGACTACCACATACGGATGTATATAGACATATTTTAGAGTGTAGATTCACTCATTTTGCTCCGTATGTAGTCACTTGTTGAAATCTCTAGAAAGACAAATATTGAAACGGAGGGAGTAATTCACAATACAAGTCACTACCATAATGTACATCAAAACCTATGATTGCCTTGTACCAGACTGAATTTGCTGACATCTTTTGAGATCAAATTTTTAACTGCACTTACTTTGCATGTCCCTGTTCAAGATATACAGAAATGGAAGCACTCTTGTTAAGCAAAACGATGAATTCCTGACAATTTGCATAATGGTGATGCTAAATGGGATTTATCACCTGTTTCTCCCACATGGAACACTGAAATTGAACTGATTGGAACTACTAATAAGAAGTGCATATTAGTTTCTGGTTGCACCTAATAAGAAAATTGGAACACTCTTGCAATCTGAGAGGTTCGCACAAAGTTACATGTGCTGTTCCATAGAAGAGATTGGACTGGAAGTACTACACAGCCTTAAGAGGAATACTAACAGGTTCATGCTCCTGGAACTTTGTTCTTTTCATAGAGCCTGAACGCAACTGGCACATAGCTACTGGTTCAATTTTTGGATATAAGCATGTCCAAAACTGATTTTAGAATTGTGATGGTTCGGTTCAGCTCTAACCTATACAACCTACATCAAATAAACATACAACAGTTGCATTTATAGAAACGGTCTCGCCACAGATTAGCTCTCACTCAGATTTCGGAACAGAGCCTCGACTAATAAAGTGACAACGAAGTATTGCACAGGACCTAGCAACAAACAACATATCAATTGTAACCCAACTCCATTGAGAAAACCAGGTATTCCGGTATTGCCTCAAGTCCCCAGGCACTTCATTCTCAAGATTAAAATAGATTACAACAGTAGATCTTTGAACTCCTGTGATCATATAGATCCCAGTCACTTCACTGTTTATATAGCCCAGTTCACTATCCAGAGAATCAACTCTTACCAAAGTCATAAAATGATACTCCCTCCGTCCGGAAATACTTGTCATCAAAATGGATAAAAGAGGATGTATCTAGATGTATTTTAGTTTTAGATACATCTTTTTTTATCCATTTTGATGACAAGTATTTTCGGACGGAGGGAGTAATTATTTTGCTATTTGACAACCAAACAATACAAAGGAGGAATGCACTTCAAAGTGCACCATTAAGTAGTTTACATATCTATGCCAGTAATATGCAAGGAGAAGAAATGAACAAAAGACCAGAGTGTGATGCAATATTACCTAGGAAGAGATGCATGTTTTCTATCTTCTGGGACTACAGGGCCGCTACCATCACTTTCTTCAAGAGAGAACTGCTGCTTAAAATTATGGACAGCACTGACAAGCATAACCAAAAATATTGCTGTCAGTAATAGTTGACACAACAAACAGAAATGAGGGAATAGAGACATAGAAAAACTAACTCTCTGTGCCATCTATTCAACAACTGCAGATGATATTCCAATATCTCCTGGAATATCAGCTCCCTTATATCATCCTTTGAGGCTTTGACACTCTGCTGTGCTCAGAGTCAAACTCCATTTTTCTGATTGGCTGACAGGATGGTTCTCTCTCTGGCTTGGAAAGGCCTTTAAAGTATGGATCAGTCAATGCCTGACAAAATACAAATATTGAAGGAAACATTACAACTTACTCCATAGAAATATAACAAATTAATGCCGCAAACAGAGAGAAGAAACCAAGAGATCAGAATGACAAAGTAGCACGAAATGACCACCTCTTCCGCAGTTGGACAATCCTTAGGTTCAAAGACTAGTAGCTTCTCCAAGAGTTTTACTCCCAAAGGATCTGCATTAGGAAACTTCTGAGAAAATGGGACTGGGTCTTTCTTTCTCATACTGCTCAAGTTCCTTATTGCTTTCTCAATTCGGACCTGGGAAGAAACAAAAACAAGGAAGTCAAATTTTGGGCTCACTGAATACATTTACCAGACAAACTAAATATATATTCTTCCCCTGAATTTAGTACCGTACCCGAGAAATTGTATACATTGAAGGTGTGCCTAGAAGATCAGTCCCTAAGTCTAACTGATGGACAGCATTTTTACCAGGAAACAAAGGCTTTCCAGTCAGCACCTCAGCAAAAATGAACCCAATGCTCCAGATGTCAATGGCAGGTGTATGCTGCATTTTGGAGTGAACAAAAGTCAAAAATAGATTAAGAACAAGCATCTGATCAAAATCCTGGAAATTACTAACCATGCTTTTGCTTTTCTTGGAAGTAAGAGAAGTTCACGTGATTGTAGCCAAAGTTACTATTCAAAAGGGAAGTGATCCGGTATTCTTCTAGAGCATAGGATGAACCAATGTTCAGATAAATTCATGAATGAAATTAAGTCACAAAATACAAAATGATAGAGATGACAGTGAAATCTGTACCAAAGATGGAGAACCCATAACAATAAAGCATAGGCACATAGTGGATTTAAAATTTCGCCAGAAAACCTATCATCAGAGAAGATGAAAGCAAAGACTATGTATTTGCCTTAGTTGTGCATACTTTGAGCACCTGATGGAATTGCAAACCTTGTAACCATGTAAAATTATTATATTTGATCAATGCTGAATCCTACAAGGAAAAAAAGAGTGTATAACTGTAATACCAATTACCAATACGGATCATTCTTCTGCACTATGCATGCATCACACCAAGATCCAAATACAGGTGTCTCTTGTTCTCTCCTATAGTTCTCGGAGACGACCTTCCCTAGTTCGCTGTTACTGGCACTCACAGTTCATAACAAATACACAGCTAGAAATGAACAGAAAAAAGACCCAGGAAAAACTGAAGAGAGGCGGGCTAACCTTGGTACAGCAGGCTAGCGTAGTTTCCAGAGACAATGGCTGCAGGTGGGCGGAGGGAGCTTAGGGAGTGGCCGTGTGGGGGAAGCGGCGGAGTCCAGGCCAACTCTATTGTGTGAGGAGGGAGGCGGTAGCGGATCATGCCGGCATCTGATGGAAAAAATATAATCTGATGACACAGCGTGGGGACTAGGGCAGCAGCATCGCGTGGAGCGGCAGCGTCGCGTGGGGCGGCCGCTGGCTTGGCGCCGGTAGAGAAGTTGGCGGCGAGCAATTGTGGAGGAGTCCTCTTGGTTGCCTTCGGGAGTATTTGAGCGGTGGCTGCACAAGGAGCGCGTGCGAGGAATACAAATCGGGAAGGAGCGCAATTAGCGGCACGGTTAGCAAATTAAGAGATTGCAAACCGGGGACGCGGAGCACAAAAGTTTGGCAGATCATGGTCTGGGTGTTGACAGGATGTATCCGGTCCGTCAATTGTTTTGTGCGATGATGGAGCTAAGCTGTACTGTTAGATTTACCAAGTTAGAACGATCTAAGGGCACTACGGTCTAAGAGCGCTGGATGATCTGTGTGCAGTTTTCTGGGTGGACGTTGGAAAGTTTTAGTTTGCTCTTTTATTAGTAGTGGAGATAATTTAATACTCCCTCCGTCCGGAAATACTTGTCATCAAAATGAATAGAAGGGGATGTATCTAGATGTATATTAGTTATAGATACATCCATTTTTATCCATTTTGATGACAAGTATTTTCGGACGGAGGGAGTATCATTCTGTTTATCAGATTGATTGTATACAACAGGTGTTTTTTTGGGAGATGACCACCGCCCCTATTGCAGCTTATTTTGTTTATACATGTATTTTGTTATTTTATTTTTGCGGAGGGGACTAATATCACTTCTATTGTGCAGATTGATAGTACAGGAGGGGGACATTTTTTTGGGGAGATGAGCGGTGGAGCACTTTTTTTGGGGGAGATGAAGGGTGGAGCACTCGTCACCTTCCGGTGAATCAGGAGTCATCTTCAGTTTTGGAAGAGGGGATGCAGCAGTTAGTTTTGTATGCCTTTCTTGACAGTCGTGTTCGCTTTACTTGTATCATCATGCGTTACAGACAGTCTGTGGACACAACAAGAGACTTGATATCATGTGGACTCAGCGTCAAGACCAAAGGTCGAACTGGTTGTATGCATAAACTGAATCAAGATCAGAGCACACGGCGAGATGGTTTCCATTCCAGACGCCCATATCAATTGGGGTTGCCTTGCTTGATTTTGCTACTCCTTGTTCACTTTTATAAGGCATTGTAGACATTCTAAACAGCGTGCAAAACAGCTTGTCTAAAACGATTTATAGAAGTGAACGGAGGGAGTATTCAAAGTAGCCTGTCTTGCTCAGTTTCAAGGTGAGGACATCTTACACAAATGGAACCGCTTTTCAGCATTCCTTTCCAAACAGACTTTTTCGTCCTGCTTTATATACTTCTTTCGTCACAAAATAAGTAACAACCGAGGAAAGTACACGGCTGAAGCTTCAGCGTTCCTCCTACCCCTGTCCACTGCAAATCAGAGAGGAGCAGTTGAGTAAATTGCCAAAAACCTTCACAATTACATCGCATAGTGCGAAAAAACATTATTTTTATAAAAGTTTGTCGAGAACACCGATTTTGATAATATGATGCGAGAACACTGAAACGATGACCGCGGCCGGCGTGGTTGTTCGAGCAGCATAGGAGGACGCGTAGGAGCACCGGCCACTGCCCAGCACCTCGTCGCTCCGCTGGGCGCATGGGAATGAGCGCTGGCGTGGACGACGGGGACACGCGCGTTAGGTCCTCGGCATGTTTGGGCCGCCGGAGAGCAACAACATGTTCCGGCCGCTCGAGCAGCAGCCATGGGACGTTGTGGAGCTCCATGCCTCGTCGGCCTTGCTCTGCGCCTCGCCGGAATTGTGCCGCCAAGGATCCAAGGCCCGCACACGTCAGAGCCAGCCCGCCATGGACGGCCGTGACTCACGTGCTTCCCACTGGTGGGCGCACGCAGGGTGCTCGACTAAATGTCGAGGCCGCTCCAGAGCTTGCGGAGCTACGCGACAGATGGTCTGCGGAGAAACCCTTGTGCGCGTGTGCTCGGCCTCCTCGGAGCTGCGGAAGACGACGACGTAGACGAGGCTAGAGCTCCACCTCGCCAAGCTCTCTAGCGTGCTGTCTCAGGAGCTCCATGCATTGCCCCTGTGTGCTTTGGGCCTGGGAGCCACGCCCGAAGGCCTTGTTCATGTCATGTGCGCAGCCTAGGTAGACAGAGAGGGCGCTTGTCCTACTCCTAGCCTAGCGCTGCCGTCTGCCTGTAAGATGGAAGCGTTCCTACTCTCCGTGAAGAGCCGCGTGAGCTTATATAGATCGAGGGCAAGAAGAGCCCTTGCGGTGGCTTACAAGTTGAACCTGATAGCTAGGATACAGGTTTGGTACATGAGGATAGAGATAAAGGGTGTTACGGGAGAGAGAAGAAGATAAACAGTTGAGATTATAATCTATCCTAATTCTAACACTGCCGACCAACGCAAGCTGGAACAGCAGGACCAGACAGCGGACAGAGCCCACTCCGGCGTGCGTGCGTGCCGTACGAGAGAAGCCGTCCCTTCCCTTCGGCGCCGACGCTAAGATGCAGGCGGCCACGTACTGGACGGTCGTGGCGAGCAGTTACTCGTGCTGGCGCAGTATGTTGGAATAAGCCACGCCCCACGCCCCATGATCCGGCGGGTGCGTGCATGCTGATCAAGCCAGTTCGGTGGTCTGCGGCCGTGGCGAAGTGTCGCGTGTGTGCACGCTCGAGTGGGCCGTATGGCCGGGTGTGCTGTTAGTGCATGGCGTGAGTCTGTTGTAGTTTCGGCCGAGTCGCTGGGCCGTGCGTATAGCTAGCTAGCTAGTGGGTTAGTGTGCATGCAGGTCATGGTGTAAGTGCGTGCGTGTGGCCAGGGCTACTTAGGCCTTGTTCAATGTGAGATGCTTGGGGAGGTGCTTAGAAAAATAAACCGATTTTTTCTGAAGCACCGGTGTCTATTTCTACAGGAGAGACGCTTAACTAAGCGTCTCTCCTGTAGAAATAGGCACTGGTGCTTAAGAAAAGTCTGGTTTATTTCTCTAAGCACCTCTCCTAAGCATCTTGCATTGTACGAGGCCTTAAGCTGTTTCATCAGGTTGCTTTTAGAGCGCCGGTAAGAGCCGAGTGTAGCCATGTAGCCACTTTAAAGAAGAAAAGGATTGAAGCGTTCGTGCGCCCGTGGCGGCGTTCATGCGCCGGCTGGGAAAAACTTCTTGTGCCATGTGTCCGTCTTCTTCTTCCACCGACTGAGAGCTGTGAGCGAGGAGGATGAGGAGAGCTAGGGCAGGGGCGGCAACAACACAGTATGCGCGGGACCGAACGCCGGCGGAGTGCGCCTGGTGCCTCCGGTGGATACCTGCGCCGGACATGGCCTAATCCTGCTCGTTCTGCACGTGCAGACGGTGCTGGAGCTCGCCGGTCGGATGCCGGGCTGGGCGTGCGTGGGCGCGGGCGCACGCGGAGCTGAAGAGAGATGGCGAACTGTACTGTTTGTGTATTGACCTTGATACTACATACTCCCTCCATCCGAAAATACTTGTCTTCAAAATGAATAAAAGAGAATGTACCTAGATGTATTTTAGTTTTGGATACATCCCTTTTTGTCTATTTTGATGACAAGTATTTTCAAACGGAGGGAGTACATATCTCCTAAAACTCTAAGCTCCCTGGATGAGACATCTCCTGGTTGATCGAGGCTATATGGGCTGCGTGGTGGCCCCAGCTGTACGTGTGTAGAGGCGCTGGCTTTGACCAGGTAGAAAGTCGTGGCAGCGGCTGGGTAGCGTACTAGCGTTTGACTATACGCGTCTCGATATCTCCGCGGTATTTGTTTCCTCTTCCGATTTGCATGACGGCGCTCTTCGGTTGTCGGCTCCATTGGTGCCTCAACGCCGGAGCCTCGAAGTGGTGGTTCATCATCGGCGGGGCAAACAGATGGGCGCGGTGTCTCCATGGCGTTCAACTCTAGCCCACCCTCATCCGCCTCCATCACTTCCTCTTACTCCTCCCATTCTCAGAGGCCGTTCGGAATCACTCCACTAACCACTCTGTAACTCCGCCGCGGAGCGGAGCGGCGTACAGTTCAATTTTGGCGAGCGGCCGAAGGGGTGCTCCGCCCGCTCCGTTCCCTGGCGAAGGAGCGGAGGATTCCCGAACAAAGCCTCAGCATAGGGCCATAGGCTAGCTGTCCTCTCCTCCTGCCGTCCATGGTGCCGACCCACCGTGGCGCCCTCCCCTGCAAATCTGGTGGTGGTGTGTACCACGATGGGGAAGGGGTGCGGGTCGCTGGAGGACGCGGCGCCCG